CTCTCTTCACCAAACCCCTCCTCCCTGCGGCGCTGGAACAGCTGCTACCCACCCGCGGCGCTGGAGCAGCCGTAACGCACGCATTTTTGTATTTATATCTATAACTATATTTATAGTTGTACTCATAAGTATATTCATAAGTATATACAGATATACACCTAAATATTATACACATATACATTCATATATATATATATACACACACATACATACATACATACATACATACATACATACATACATACATACATACATACATATTCACACATACAGCTGGATCTATGTATTGGTACCAATATGTGTGAAAGTGGACATGTTCCTCCAGACATGTGAAAACTCGAGAATCGGAAGCTGCAGACTGGCGCTTCTTTGCTGAAGGTCCAGGCTCCCCCATGGTGGCCGGCGTCGTGTATGCCAGGAACACCTGTGAACATTCGCGGGTGGTTGTCGAAATTATGGTCCCTTTTTGGGTCCTTATTATAATACGGCACCTAAAATTTAGGGTACCCCAAAAAGGGACCATAATTTTGACAACTACCTAAATTTGCCCTCTGCCCTTCAACTTTCATGGTGTCACGCGTCTTCACTTGCATCGGCAAGCCCTTCTGGGAAACGTCTTTCTCAAAAAGGCCAGGAGATCCTCCAAACTTCCCGTTTACCTGCTCCGGGTCATCGAAGAAGCCTTCCAAGGTCGCCTTGGACAGTATCGAACCCCGAACCAAAACAACAAAGTGCTGGAGGTTGCTTTGCACTCCACCCGCCGCCTGATAGCGCTCCATTCCCAAGCTGCCAAGCCAAGCAGCTAGAGGCCCTGACGAGGTCAAAGCGAAGAGTCCAACACGGTTTGCTGCTCCTTGCGGCCTTGAGCCTTCGTCTTCTCGTGGGGAGGAGCCGTCAAGGCACCTTCGTCCGAGCCTCTCACAGGGCGGAGTCCCGAAAATCTGCACCGGGCTGTCCCTGCCTCTGCCCCTGGAGCTCAGACTTCTCGCCGAGCGAGACCTGGCCGTCACGGCTTCCTTCTGCTTCGCGCGACCGCTAAGGCGGGCCTCGGCCTCGGCTTGAGCCAGCGGCCATCCTGCCAAGTCTGCCAAGTCCGCAGGCCGAGGCTCTCTGGCACTTCCCCTGACGTGCGGACGTGTTTCGGGGCTTCTGGCATTCCGGTCTGAGTCTAGGCGCTCTTAGCAGCCTTCAAGTATGCCAACGCCCTGACATTTGCTAGCCCAGCCCCGAACCCGCTTGAAGGGCAAGGGCCCAGTTTGCCAGCAAATGTGACGGAAAATCACAAGTTTACATTCTATACAGCTGGCACTTTTGTCAGGTCGTCTGTCCTTGGACCTTCCTCTTGCAAGGAGCCACAGCCTTCTCTGCTGCCTTGTTAACAGGAGAGCAGCGGACGACATGACATCGGGGAGGGCTTTCTGCCCCGTTCGTACTAGCTGCGAGCCCGGAACGAAGCTAGAAATTCCGCTAGACTACACAGTGCTGATGAGTGCTTCCTTTTGCTGACTAGTGTTGAATCCCTGCTTCAAAGCCGTATGGCTCGCTGTGAACAAAGAGTTCCCCACTTCGCCCTGAGGCGGAAGGGTCAAGGGAGGGTTCAGGTCTGTCCTTCCAGCGCAGCCTTTGTGGCCGAAGGACGTCCTGACGTCCCAGTCAAAACTCGAGACCACCACTTTGTGTGGCGGAGCCCGGGAAAACCACCTGATTTTTGGGCCCTCGAACTGTGTTGGCAACACGGGGCCCCAAAAGGAGGTAGCCAAGGGTCAAGCGCGCTGCTCGACGAAGACTTCCAAACGGCTGGTGGGGACATGGCAGTGCGCTCTTGTTGCGATGACCCGCTTACATAAGCCTTTTCTGAAACCCTTCATTCGGGACTTTGCCATGTCTTTTCGGCTGACTTGTGCACGCCAAAAGCCAGCTCGGCTAGGTCGGGAGTGGTCCTTTTGCCGCATTTGCCGGGAGAACCAGACCCAGGAGCCCGTGCCTCACAGCAACTTCTCGAGTCTGCAGCTTTGCTCTTTGCACACACCCTCGCCCTTCTAATCTATGTGCGTGCTAGGGTACGGAGGTGTGTCATCGGCACACCGTGTAGATACTGAAACATTCTGGCTGACATAGGAGCTCAAGGACTGTGGGCTGCAGCCATCCTCGGCCGCAATCACACATGCAATGCTGAACGTGAACCTCTGTGAGTGGATGCCCTTCGCGAACCCTCGCAAGCCATATCACTAGGGCATCGTCTGTGGCCGTGGGAGGACTCCGACTGGGCAGGTACTGCAACGCCCTCACCAGCGACTCCTGGCAGGCTGGCGCTGCGCAGTGCTTCCGTGTTGCGCCGCCGGGCCATGCCGGAGCGTGAGGATACGATCGCAGGGATGTTTAGGCGCACGTGCACGCGCTGTCATGCCGAGAGTTGCAGGTCCTTCTCTTGGGCGAAGCGAAGTCCGCTGATGATACAAGCGGAGATGAACTCGTAGACTGCTACCCAAGCCTGGCAGGCTTGCTATGCGCGGTGTAAATTTACAACTCGGCAAAAACTCTGCATGCGAGGAAATGGGGGAAGATCGCGAAACGCCCCCATAAAGAACGGTCGGGTCCCATAGGCTTCTTCTTGCCCCCAAATTTACAGAGCTCATGCTTGGTGTGGCCTAGGGCAGGTTGAAACTCTGGGGGATGCAGCTGAGCGCTTTGTGAGGCTTCGGGAGTTGCAGGCAACACGTTGTCATCTGTGAGTGCCGCGGCCATCTCCACAGCTCCAATCTTGCGGAAAGCCATACCAGGTGGAGTGCTGTGAAGTCCGTGTTCCGTCCGTTCTCTCCGGAAAAGGTTTGACGGGTTTGTTTCTGCACGCCGGCTGCATTCGCTTGGATTCGGGAACCAACATTTCAGCCTGACAATGCGAATCCGGGATTGGCCAACCTCCCGGCCTCGCGACTTCACCTGCGACCTGCGTATCCTAAGCCAGACTGGCGGCACATTCTAGAACTGCAGGCTACACTAAGTCAAAATCCAGCCCCTGGGAAACGTCACTGACAAGCAATCTCGTTTTTGACTCGTCGCGACTATTCGGAGCATACTATTTTAGCGTTCACAAATAGCCGCATGCAGCGACACTGAATCCTCCGATCTCCCTTTTGACCCACCACCCAGCAAGAAATCTATTTGCGCTGTGGACAAGCAGTCGGATCATGTTGGCAATCAGTCAGAGCAGGCACCATGAATGCCAAGACATCTCTTTTGCATGCATTGCTCCTGTAGATATGCTGCGAATGCCAACAGGGGTCGCCTGCTTGACGTCTTCAGTCAAAGACGTGCCCAGTCCGTCCTGCCAAGAACGGGAAGTGACGCGCTGCTGCGCCCGCTAACTGAGCTCCTGCAAGGTCAGAACCAAGGCTTGGCCGCCGTATTCGAAGAACTCCTGCGGGGGATTGTGAAGCCTAGAGAGCCTTGGCTTCGGCTCGGGGACCCAAACTCCCCCCTCCATGAATCCTCTTTCATGTTGTAGTTGATGTGACGCATTCCCAATGCATTCAACTCCTTCGTGCAGGGACACGTGCAACAGCTGCAAGAATTCAGAGTTAAGCAGGTTGCCGCCGAGGTTCAGCGACGAGCCTCGAGATATTTTGCAGTCCAGCCACAGCACTTCCCACTGCCTCGACAACCTCATGCAGCACAACACCGGCTGCGTTTTCTTAGTCTGTCGTGGTGTGGTATATCCTGGTGCACCTTGGCGAAAAGGTTGCGCAGCGCCGGGGAGTTCTCGAAACCATCCTCAACCTCTCAACTTGTCAAGTTGGTTGGGCTCGCCGAAAGCCCGCCGCTACTTGCAGGACAAGGCAGACAAGGCCTCCTCCTCGCTGCAGCTCCAGTCGCGATAGCGATTGCGCACACTGACTGGGAAGAGCGACTTGGTTACGGGTGAAATCTTGAACAGGTGCTTGTACATTATCTCGCCGATGTTCGCAACTCCGAGTTCCTGTCGAAAGATGCACATCGCTGTCCTAGCATTATGTGAGCCGTCTGCCTTCACCACCATCCAACTCTGCTGCACGGTGCTGATGGTTCCGCTCGAAGGCACCATGCCGGGCTGCTGAGCCTCAGATACAGCAGCATTGACAGCAACTGACGGGTGAAGAAGAACATTAGACTTTCGCTGAGTCCCGTCGTGCAGCAAAGCGGCTGTCTGCAATAGCCTCGATGGAGGCTTGAACTCCTTTGCGGCAGCTTTGCCTCGACGCAAAGCACTGACGTCAGAACCCTACAGGCCCCGCCGCACGCCCCGCCTGCTTGGGGCCGAGAGAGCAGCGTCTTCGAGCCATCGGACCTCAGAGAGGACGGCAGAGCGGCAGTCCCTCTGGCTTTCTCTGTTCGCAAGCCGAGTAGCGGAGGGGACGGGGCCTTCGCCTGAATCTCGCTGGCCTCCCGTATGCCGCGGGCCACCGCCGAGGAGACAAAGTCCTTGGAACACGCAGGCACTCTTCGTCACGTTCTCGCAACTGGTTTTCCTAAAACTTCGAGTTTGCGGCTTCGAAAAACCTGCTCTTCATCTCTGAAGCACGACGCACACATCCGAGCGTCAAAGACCGTGATCCAAGCTTGATCTGCTTCCGGCGTTAGGAAGCCTTGGAAAGCAAAGTTTGTCCAAGTCAAGGCTGCTTGGAATCCAGCAGGCCAAGCCGCTACAGTGACCTCTGAAAGCAAGAAGAAGAGCTTGGCCGAAGGCTTTCAAGTACTCCTCGGCAGTCTGCTTCTGGGCCTAGAGGGCCTGGGAAGCACAGCCGTCCTCCTTTACACCATAGTCGGCATGGCGAAGCCCAAGAGCAGTCATTTCCAGAACCACCTTTCCTGAGCGTCCCAGACATGCACGTCGGTGGCCGAGCAACAGCGCGTCACCTGGGTTCTGAAGTCTCATCACGGCAGCGCCCACTGCAGAGACCATCTGTCGAGAGATTCACCGCATCTCCGGTCCACTCTAAAAGACTTCAAAAGACTCCAAGGTGGCCTTGGAGAAGAGCTCACGCAAGGCTATGGAATTCTCGAAATTGTGGTCGGCCTTTTCAGGAACGCCTCTCTAGAGCCTCCAAGCACAACGGTCCGAGCCTCCTCGATCGGACTGGTCCAGTCCCTGTAGCGGTAGCGCACAGCCATCGGAAACAATGCCTTTGATGATGGATTCAAGATAAACCTGAACTCAGGCAGTATCTCTTGTCAAGGCATGGAGATGTAGCGTGAAACTTGCACGTCTCGCTACTGCCAATCTCATGACCACAACAAACGCAAGCCCGTCCCACAAGTAACGGGTCTTGTCAACATGTCTCTTAGACTCAGGCAAGACACAGATTCTTGCAAAAAGCCTCTGCAATCGTGCCGATGCTGGGGCGCATTTCCCGCCAGCTTCGCTGAGCGACCTTTGCATGCCAAGGTCTAACCACCGTCTAACCTCCATGTCGCGAACTTGCCCCAGCATTTCCATGTGTAGCTGTAGCTGCTCAGGGACATCAATGACTTCTTGGGAGAGACGAAAGGTACTTGGTGGCAATGGCGTGACCTCATTCACTTCCAACAACACATCGGCGTGCACACGCACACGCCCGCCCGCTTACGTTGGGCTCATGACAGGTACAAATGCATGCGTGAAGTGAGTGGAAATTGCTGTTCAAACTCTTTCTGCTGACGAAGGGCTTCAACGGTGCTGGGCTTTGTCGTCGGCTCCTGACTCATTAGGATTAGGAGCTCGTAAAGAACCACATTGAAGTGGCGCGATCGCGACACAAAGGCAAAGTGCCTTGCCCAGCCCAAGCTCGGTGCTTCGAATCGCCGACAGCGGTGGGCTGCCTTTTGATTCGCGAAGACCTGGGAAAGCGCAATCGCGGTCTCGACAGACAACGGGGCACCCAGGGGCCACGTGGGCCAAGCCCAAGACGTTTCTTCATCTTCAGAATATGCCCCGGCAAGAAGCCCATCGCCTCCAGGTGCTCATCCTGTTGTGCAGAACCGCTGCAAAGCTGGCAGAAGTCACGAAGGAAATCCAACAGAGCAGGAGTTTCCTGAATCTCAAGCAGGGTCTCCATGTCGTCAAAGCCATCTCTGAACAACGTGTCGATGTACTGGGGAAGACCTCTCTAATCTCTCCAAACATCGGCCAACAATCCGAGGTGATCTGACGAGAAGGCATGGGCACAGCGGATTTCTGCGGCCAAGCCCCGCCTGTTTCGCGCATGAATCTGGCAACCTGTCCCAAACAAATTGGACAAGACCGCTTGTGCGCACAATGCGGATGCGCTCCATCTGCCGAGGCACGGGGTTGCGTTCCTTGCCGCCCTTGCTGAAAGACCTGCAGCTTGCGACCTGTCACGAGGTGCGGCAGTGCGGGCAAGGGCATGCGAAGGCCAAGGCCCCCTGAGAGGCTTTAAGACTCAGCTGGGTACCTGGGCCGCCTTCGCCTGCCCGTCTCGACGGCCGCGTGCCGTGAGGCTTGGAGTGGCGACCGGTCGATTCGGCGCCGCCCGCGGGGGGATCGTCCCTGTCGGCACACCGCAGCCCACTCCGCAGATCACAGCAGCGAGTGGGCTCACACGCGGATGGCCTCCGCCTGGCGTCGGCCGCGAGCCACGCACCGCGGCCGCCGCGGCCTCCGGCCTCCGAGCACCTGAGGACAGCGGAGAGGAGGAGAGGGCTCGGCCCGGGGGAGACCCCGCGGGAGACCGTGAGAGTGACGCTCCACTTGCGGATCAGGCCCGGACGGTTCGGAAGCATGGCAGCCCGCACAGGTGACAAGCTGACCCACAAACGGCGAATTACGGAGAAAGCAAGTTTGGCAAGTTTTTGTCGACAGCATCAAGCGATCACGGCGTACGATCTTATTGGACTCATGTCGCTACCTCCGTGCCCCAGCGCTGGCGCACTGCGCTCTGGCCTCCGGCTGAATGCCCCAAGACGTGGTCCACACTCCACACGCTCGCATATGCTCCAGTCCTTCGCAAGTCCAGGTCCGTGCTCCCTCCTCCCAATCCGTTGCGCTCCATGTCCATCGATTGCCTGATCAGGACGGAGTTCGAGATTCAGGGTGCATCACGAGCATCAACAAATCAAACCAGTTCAGTCAAAGGCATGATCAGGACTGAAACTGCATCGTTGGGAGCGGTATTGACAACTAGACGACACACAAGCATTCACAATCTTATACATGTTTCTCACCTGCTGGCACAAGTTGACAGGCAGCCCATGACAGCAGCAACAACAACAGCAACCGCAACCAGAGCCAAAGCCAGAGCCAAGACCACAATCACAACCCCAAGCGCCGCAGCCCCAACCGCAACCAAAACAGAGATCGCAACTACAACCACATCCACAATAAACAAGATCATCATCATCATCATCATCATCATCATCATAATCATCATCATCATCATCATCATCATCATCATCCATCATCATCCATCATCATCATCCATCATCCATCATCATCATCATCATCATCACCATCAGCATCATCATCATCCTCATCCTCATCGTCACCATCATCATTGTCAGCAGCAGCAGCAGCAGCAGCAGCAGCAGCAGCAGCAGCAGCATCGGCTGACAACAACGAGACCACATCTGCACAAAGGACCTTGGCCACATGATCGCACTTCCGAGACGCCAGTCCGGCAACTTGCTAGCCATGGCTACAACGCTAGGCCCTGCTGGACCGAGGCCACAAAAAGCCTGCTCCTTCCGTTTTGTCGACCGCGGCAATGTTCGGAATGCTCGTCAGGGCTCCACTCAGCACGCATCACCTACCACAGCCGCATCTTCACAACGAAGCCGAGACAAGTCTGAGCTCGCTAGGAAGTCGTCGTGCCGTCACCTTCGATCTTGGAATGGCTACTGCAAGTCTACTGTGTGCTTGCGCTATCTATGACTAACACCATTTCTCTCATATAAGTACTCAAAGACTTGCGCAAGCATGACACGAAGGTGGCATGTCGCCCCAGCGATTTCCATCGGTTGCCAGTTCTGGCAACTTCGTCGCTGCGCTAGAAGGCGGCTGCAAATCACAACCCTCTGCCTGTTCGTTGTTGCAGCCAGCCCCCCCAGACGCACACATCAAGATCAGAAGGATGTCTGCTGACTGCTTGCTGTACATGCTCATCACCTCGTTCACCCAATCAGATGTGTGGTTGATGCATGCAGATTGGGCTGCCAAGCAGGAATGCATGAGAAACTAAGGTTCACCTGTCGAACATAAACGAGGACATCGCCTGCTGCATTTCATGCAACAAGGAAGATGTCGTTGTCTGCAATACAGCCATGTGCCTGTGGGACGGTGCTACAGCCTGCACTCAGAATTAGGCCCATTTCTTTTTGCTTAACCACTTCGCACATGAGCTGTAACATTACGATCACCGCGCTTTCAGAGCGAAAATGTATGTCTGTGTTTGATGCGCCCTGGCAACGGGCCATCGCTATACCACATCCAAGATGACAAAGACCAGAAACTGTTGCCCAGAGATTCTTAGGTGGGACCCTGGCTGCCCTACCCATCATGGGCGGAGATCACTAATGGGGAAGCCGGAAGGCTGCACCTCCAGCTCCCCAAAGCAACCCGCAAATCCAAGAAAACTTGCGACGCTCGCATACGCACACACCATCTCCCGAAGCACAGAGCATCTGCGAAACATTGCAGCTCCGGCCTGTGTCAGCTATGCAGCTATGCCGTCTGAACACGACAAAATCTGGGAAATGGGGAGGACATTCAAACCTGTGTTCATTAAAAGACCTCGGAGGGGTCTGGCACTTGAGATGCGGCCGAATTGTTGGGGCCGCTGTCACAAAAGCTGAGAGCTTGTCACGAGTGAGACAGGCGCTTGCTTCGCTCAGCTTCGCTTTTCGCTTGCGGCTTGGCGCGAGATGGACCTTTAGGATGGCATCGGCGATTTCTGACAAATAAATTCGCAGCTTCGAGGAGTCACTGAGGTCAACCTTGCGCATAGAGCGTGACTTTACAGCGTCATCTGACCTGAAGCTGCAATGCAGCAACAGGCTGTTGATGAGAAATTGAGGAAAGGCTGTACAGAGGGAGGTCTCACGTCCTTCCAATCCTCGTGCCACCGCCTATGCGGTGGGAACCTGTGGGCGGTGCGGAACTCACGCCTCGTCTCGCCTGTCTTCCGTCTCCTCGCGAGAGAAAGCAAGAGAAATCAAGAGAATCTGGAAGGCATTGACGAGCCAGGGAAACGTACTACCGGTAGTGTCCTGCTCAGGGACGATGTTCTCGTCGTTTCTCACATGCATCTCCACGAAAGCATCAAAGGCAATGGAGCAAGAGAGGAAGGCGTGTGTGGCCTGCATTCCATGGGTCCCTAAAATGTGGCAAGCTTCGGTTCAATGTCTTCAGGGCACCTCCAGTACCCCTCGTGTCGCGGTCCCCGCGAAGCTTCCAATGCCAATGGCAACGCTGCTGAGTGCCTAACCCAGCACACAGCGATGCGGCACCGCACCTCACCGCGGAGTCTGAGTCCTGCCTCGAAGCTGCTTTGAAAGGCTTCGGAGATGCCCCAGCTGTTGCGCTCCAGTGCGCTTCGAGCCCTGGCACGGGGCATCAGAGCACAGTAGAGGGCTCAAAGGCCGAGCAAAGGCCGAGGCACGTATGCAAAGGCATCTGTAAGGTTTCGTCTTCCAGGATTGTGGGCAACACATCTTCGGAGATGATATGATCCTCAGCCCACTTTCTTCAGGCTGCCAGGCCGAATCACTTCGCCCAGCTCCCCCTGCATCAGAGCCACGTTGTCCAAATCGAAAAACTCCCACTTTACGCCTGGGCATGGGCCCAGCATGGGAATGGGGACAGATCGCGGTTCAAAAAGTCTTGTTTGGATCGCTGGTGGCCTCCCCCACTTCCCACCTCCCCCCCACCCTGAGGCCCTGAGGCCCTGAGGCCCTGAGGCCCTGGCCTTTGTCTTCTTCGGCGTAAGCAGAATCCTCCCTGAGAAGCTCGGAGTCCTCCGGCGGAGGCGCGAGCGGGAGAGCCCAGCTCTGGCGACGGAAGAAATGGCAGCCTTTCCTCATCGCTGATGAAGCTCGTACCGCGATCTGGCTCCTGGATGTCCGAGCCCTGAGGCGGTACAGGTTCACTTCTTTCTCAAATGGCTCGCGAAGGCTGTGTCCCACACCTCGCTGCTGTCTGTTTCGGCTTCCCATACGGAATGTCTGCCTGAGGCCAGTCAGAAGCGTTGTCATTGTTGGCTAAACTTCGTGCATGGTCACCGCCCTCCAAGCCCGGGGAGCCTTCTTCACCTTCAACTTTTGGATGATGCTGCGAGTTGATATCCGAAAAAAATGTAAGCTCGTTCCTCAGGCCGTGCGATAGCATAGGGTCTGGCAAGGGTATCGAAGCTTGGTTCATGCGAGGCTCTCGAAGTCCAACTTCGAAACCTGCGAGACTGTCACTCTCTCTGCAAGGCGTGGTGCTCGGTAGCACGACGTCAACGGCTATCCAGCAGCAATATGCAGACTACATAGATATACACCAGAACTGAGGCAGATCGATGCATGTAAATCCAGCTATGGAGCCTTCTCACAGTCGGCGAGCCCCACCTGGTTGCGGGGATCCTGCAAGAATCTAGGAATCAACGCAGATGTCTGAGTCTATGATTGTCTATGAATCTCTGGTCATTGACATCATGTGACACTACTTCCACGCTGTCCTTCGCATCGAAAGATGCGTATGTGCCGAAGTGGCAGCGCCCATCCGAGGACCCTGTCGGGTGTTGCTTTGGACTTTCAGCTCGAGTGGACCGGTCCCTCGGCCTCTCGTCATGAGGAGAGGGTGCCACGAAAGCAGATATGTGCCTCGGCTGCGAGTCTGAGAGCCCGATTCGCCAATTGAAGCCTCAATTGCCGTCTGGGGCGCTGCTTTGTTCTTCCCTTCAGGCCGCCCGCCCCGCCGTGAGGCTGCGGGCGCTTCGAGCATGAAATGGCGGAAGATCACAATCAAAGGCCGCAATCAGAGCAAATGCAAGCCACTTTGTTCGTACAAACTCACAACCTACTCTGGCCTGTCCAGCCAGGGTCCCACCAAGACCCTGAGCGTCCACCGCTTTTCCGTCATGTCGAACACCCCGAGAAAGCCCCCAAGATCAAGGGTACTCTTACCAGAGTTGCTCAGTTCCCAGAGTTGCGAGAGTTATTAGACTTTGATGTCAGCCGACATAAGCCGAGGTGCCACTCCACGTCGGACTCGCCTCGCACAGGTGCTCGATTGGATGATTTGCCCTCGCTCTACAAGGAAGCTGGAGCCAGGTCTCCGGCAGCATCCCGCCGGTAACGGGGTGATGCCTCCTGCCTTGCTGAATCTCAAAGCCGTGCGTCTCGGCTAAAAACCGAAGCCGCCCCGACGCCGCGGAAGCCCGAGCAGGGGACCACTTCGAGTTCTCGTCCGCTTTGAGGCCCTGGGCCTCAAACCATCGGCGAAACCTGCGCTCGCAGACTGCGACGGGGGAGGTCACGGGCTGGTGCGAGGAACTCGGCAGCCAGGGTCACCGCATTTTCTGGTGCCGCAAGTCATGAATGTGGAAGTCTTCGAAAAACTGTGCCTGGTCGAACCACTCTGCACCTACACCTGCACATTGACCAACAGTCGGTTTGCACGCTGTACCCGGTAAGACCAGCACATCGAGTGCACGATGCCCGGTGGAAAGGTACATCGCCTGAACCTGTGCCAAGGCATCCAATGCCCATGAGCATTGATGCCGCAGTCCACGTTTCGTGCCATGTGCAACTTATGTCTTCGGCGCACCTCCGTCGGCGAGTTGAAGGCTTCCGCCAAGTTGCGCGCATATTGGTCCAAACCTGCACCGAACGAGGTCCAGTCTGCATGTGCAAGCCCACTCCCCCGTCCGCTTCTCCTCCGCAAGGCTCTATGCCGTGGAGCCATCGTCGCATTTCTTCCACCATTGCAGGCTGACGACGGGTTCTGGAAACAAAGTTGGCATTGCGACTTAAGCGAGTGGCCCACAAGCCACTGCACTACAAGCAAAGATGCCTTCCGAGGCAAAGTTGCTGGGAGATAACATCTTCGACCCCGTCATGCAACGCGTTCTCATGCCTCTGTTAAGTTGCTTCGTGATGAACTAGTGGTCCTCGTTGAGCCCAACTGCCGGGAGAAACGATCAGCACTCCTTTTCACAAAAGAACCCTAAACTGGCCTTAAACCCACCTAAAGGGAATCCTGGGGTGAACCGAGGCAGCGACGCGGAGCCGCAGGCTACTCGGGAGATGCTCCGATGCCGTGTCTCGTAAGGGGTTTGAAACACATCAGCCGCTGCCAAGAGTGTCGAATCAAAGCTTCTGTCGATCCTTCCGGCTCCTAAGCCGCGAAGCTGCGGCCATCTCAGTCTCATCGGACTTGCAATAATTACGCTATACGAATCTGGATGTGCAGGCTTTCCTTCTGCATTGACGCTGCAATCAGCAGCTGCCTGCGCTCGAACTAGGACCGGCGGCGGTCGTGATGATGCGATGAATGAAGATGAAGAGGCATGGTCAGGAACGATTGCATCCACGCTTGTTTTCAGCAGACGAGCTGGTTGAGTTCAAGTCCGCACTGCATGCAGCACTTACAGGCACTGTGGGGCACTGGAACAACCAAGCCGTGCCCATTTCGGAGACGGCTCAAGACGTCAACGTCTACGGATGGGCCAGTGCAGCGCGCTACTTAGCTCGCCTTAACTTCTTCGAGACGGCCGACTCAGTGACTTCTTCAAGGTGCCGGAGAGCTTCTTCATTCTTCTGCGAATGACGCCGCTACGCCGGTTTCGCGGAAGGCAGCCTTCGAGCACCTCTCTTTGGAAGTGCCCACAAGATGTGCACTGCGTCCTTGTGGAGCAACTCTTCTCGGCCCCTCGATCCGCCGACCACAGTAGAAGAACTGGTCAGTGAGCTTATTGCTGTGACTGACCATTGAACCCTGGTCGTTGAAGCACCAGAACATACTCGTCGGGCTCACCTTTCCCGCCTTTGCTATGCTGCTACCTGATGCAGTGGAAGCAGAAAGAAGAAGAACATGGAGAACAATATAGGCTATGCTGTCCTCCAGGCTTTCGAATTTCTGCTTCCACTGCATCAGGTAATTCGCCAGGTCTGGGCCGTCGAACCATCTGCACATGCCTGCAAGGAAGATGCACATCTGCCTGCATGCGTCTTCAACACCGCGATGCATGCGTGTCGCGCTTCCCGTAGATGCCAAGATCCCTTCCAGTTGCGACATAAATCCTTGGTGTGCCTGCGTAAATGCGGCTTCCGCTTCCACAGCATCCATGGCTGGTTGCCACAGGGAGCCTCCGTCGACGCTTCCGCCGTCTCCGCGATCTTCTCTGGCGCCTGGGCCAAGGTGCTAAAGCTCACCGAGCCGACTGAGCGGCTGTCCGCAAGGAGGGCCAGGAAACCCCATCGCCTTTCCGGGTACTCACGCCCGTCGCCATCTGTGTTGAAGCCCACAGTCAGCATCTTTCCCAGCTGCAGCTCCACAGGCTCCGCCAACCAAGGGCCTCCACCAGAGAAACCCTGCGAGCCTGGGATCTTCACTTCCGCCGCAGAGTCGGAGGTGCAAGTGCAAGGCGCGAAGGCGACCATCACTTCCAGGGACCCGGGCTCGGAGGAGTCGGACTGGGCGGGGCTGAGTGCCACTACGGCCATCAATGCTATTGTGTTTTGCTTGTCTTTACTAGACGACTTTGCTTGTATGACCAGCATTTATGAAGAAAATTGGCTCCGAGGATTCCAACATAGGCAGCGCGACACAAGTTTCCTTTCCCCCTCTCATTTGCCTAGGACACGCCGAGATGGACCCGTCGAAGAGGCGCCGGAACCGAAC